TCTCTCTCTCTCTCTCTCTCTCTCTCTCTCTCTCTCTCTCTCTCTCTCTTTTTTTTATCCTCCAATGGTGCTGTGCTGTGTTGCCCAGACTGGTCTTAAATTCTTAAGTTCAAATGATTGTATTACCTTAGCTTTACTAGTTGTAGGACTACATACAGTGTACAATACTGGGTCTTAACAGGATTGGAATAGTTCTGGCTGTCTTAGAACTCTCGTGTAGAACTAACCACAGGCTGTCCTTGAGTTCACACACCTGCCTACTTCTGCCCCTTGAGTGCTAGAATTAAAAGGTTATGCCACCATGCCCAGTTTAGGTTGGGATTTTTAAGTGTCCCGTGATGCAGAGATCCTTTGGAGATGAGTTTTATTGCTGGGAAGTGGAGGATGTATCCTTGAAGGAGCCGTTGTGACTATGACCCCTTCTCTCTCTTTTCATCAGCAGCATTCTACTTTGTTCTCTTTGCCAGGATGGTTTTCCTTGCCGCAGGCTGAAAGGAACAGGGCCGGTTTGGCCGTGGATTGAAACTTGGAACTGTGAGTCAAAATAAACCTTCCCTCCTTTTTAAGTTGTTTGTTTCTTGTAGCTTGTGGTAGAAACAGTAAGGTTACTGACCACAGTCAGCTTTCCAATCCGTGGTAGAATTAGATCTTTTTTTTTTAATTTATTATTATTAATTTATTTATTTAACTACTTTATAGCCTGATCACAGCCCCCTCCCTCCTCTCTTCCCAGCCCACCCTCACAACCCCTCTTCCATTCCTTGCTCCCCATTTCCTCAGAGAAGGGAATGCTCCCTATAGGTACCTACCTACCCTGGTCACAGCTGGAATAACCTCATTCTCTCCCACTGAGAAGGCAACCCAGTAGTGGGAAAGAGATCCAAAGGCAGGCAACAGAGTCAGAGACAGCGTCCCCCAACTCCATTTGTTAGAGGACCCACATGAAGAACAAACTGCACACCTAGTACATATGTATAGGGACCCAAGTCCAGCCCATGCATGCTCTTTGGTTGGTGGTTCAGTGTCTGTAAACCTGTACGGGCCCAGGTTAATTTACACTGGAGGTCTTCTCGTGTTGTCCTTGACCCCTGCAGCTCCCTCAGGTCTTCCCCCTACTCTTCAACAGGACTCCCCAAGTTCTGCCTATTGTTTGGCTGTGGGTCTCTGCATCTGTTTCCGTCAGCTGCTGGGTGGAGTCTCTCAGAAGACAGTTATGCTAGGCTCCTGTCTGCAAGCATAGCAAAGTGTCATTAATAGTGTTAAGGGTGTTTCTCTTCCATGGGGGGTCTAAAATTGGGCCAGTCATAGGTTATTCAGGCCACACTTTCAATGCATAAAAAGATTTTTAATAAAGTCTGGTTGCTTTATTTAAAAAAATACCTCTCCTTTTCTAAAGAGTGGTACTTTTTTAAAAATAATTTTATACTACAATTAGATCTTAAAAGCATAATGAAAACTGCCATTTTCTTTTCTAACCCCCCCTCACCCCATGCTGAAGGTCAGGTGTATGTCCATGAGCATGCTTTAGCAGTGAGCTACACCCGCAGCCCTCTCGTTTTCTTTAAAAACATTTTTTTTTACTATTATTATTTTCTGTGTATGTGTGTTTTGCTTACAGGAACGTATGCACTACCATACATGTATGGTGGAGTCCAGAAGAGGGGGCTGGATGCCCCGTTCTTAGCCACCATGTGGGTGCTGGGAACAAGACCCCAGGAAGAACAGCCAGTACTCTTAACCACTGAGCTATCTTTTCAGCCCCCAACACCCCTTGCCACATTTTCGACTTAAGTATTTGAAATTTTTGGGTTTTGTTTTTTCTTTTCTTTTCTATTCTTTTTTTTTTTTAAAGGGGGTGGGTTGCTAGAGACTGGCCCTAGAGCCTTATGCATGCTAGGCAAGTACTCCATTGGTGATTCTACCACCCTCCCTCCCCTAATTCGAGACAGGGATCCTACTTAATTGCCCAGGCTGATATATGCACAGATATGAATTGGCCTTTCATGAACATGGACTAACAAAATAGAATTGAATTATTTAGAAATACATAACTGCTAACTGGAATCAGGAATCAGAAAGCCAGTTTTGATATGTTCCTATATAATTGCCTTTATCCTTCCCTGGTATGTATCATGTTGTCTGGGGCTCAGTAAGCAACAGAGGAGAGAACTGGTGATGTTCTTCGAGCTAACACCCTTCTTTGTAATTTTTCTTCTGTATTACCTCTCTCAAGGGCAGCTATGTATACACTTTCCAACACTTTTCTTCCTATCTTTTCTCTCTTTTTAAAGAGATGTATTTATTTATCTTCATGAGCGTGAGTGTTTTACCTGCATGTAGGTATGTATACTGTGTATGTGCCTGATCTCTATGAAGGTTATAAGAGGATATCAGATTCCCGGGAACTAGAGTTGCAGACTCTAGTATGGTGTCTGTGTAGGTGTTGGAAATTGAACCCGAATGTCCCATAAGAGCAGCAAGTGGCTCTATTAGCTGAGCCAGCTTTCCAGACTTCTGACCTAATCTTTTCAAGACAGATAACAGGTTTATGCAGCAATAGGTATTTATGTTCAATCAGAACAAATTAAGAATATTTCCCCCTTACCCTGTTTTCTGTTTTGTCTTAATAGCTAATAGTATTAAGATGACAGGACTTCCGTGAGGTATAGGAAACTGCTAACTTTTTAGAGTTTTGTTTTTGTTTCTTATGCAGGATCTAACCTTTATTGCATAGTTTAGCCTTGAAACAATTCTATTGCCTTAGTCTTCCATTCAATCGGGTCTACTGGTACCTGACTGTGACTAGCTCTGTAGACTTTTAATTCCAGGTGAGAACTAATAAATGGCCAGGCATGGAGGGTGCGTGCCTTTTATCCCAGCACCAGGGAGCAAAGGCAGATGGAGCAAGTTCCAGGCCAGCTGGACTTCCATAGTAAGACCTTGTCTTTAAAATAGTCGTAGAAGAATTTTAAGTATAAGTATCCCAGTATTGCTATTTAGATTCACCCCAGTTACTGTTCTTTCTTCCTCTCTTTTCTGCTGTCGTAGAGATGGAATCCACTACTTTTACAAGCTAGGCAAACACACTTCCACTGAGCTACACTCCCAGCCCAAAATGCTCCCTTAATTGTATTTACATAAAGGAACACATAGTTTCCTGAGATTGGATGCAGTATATAGCCCCTCTACTGAATATGAGAATAGCCGTTTTTCCACAGTGATACCAGCATAATGTATTAAGTGGTTTTTATTATTATTATTATTTTAAGTAACCAGTTGTAAGCTGAATGTGGTGGCTCATATCTGTAATCTCAGCATTTGAAGGCTGAGGCTGGAATATCGCTGCATATACTGGTTTGTGTGATCCTGTTCTCCAAAATACAAAAAAAAAAAAAAAAAAAGAAAGAAAGAAAGAAAGAAAGACAAGAAAAGAAGAATTTTTTTTTTATGTAAAAGCAAAACATAATCTCCTTTAATATTTTACTTTGTATTTCCTTGATTGCTAATGAAATAAAACAGGTAAAAGTTTCTTGGCTCTTTGTTGTTGGTTTTTTTTTTCCATTTTATTTTTTAAAAGTTATTTCATTCATTATTTGTCTTTGTGAATGAGTGAGTACAGGTGCTCATGCATATGCAATGTGTTTAGAGAGCAGAGAGTAACTGATACTTGATTCTTCTCCTTCTATCTCATTGAGGCAGTCTCTCTTGCTTCCCCAGCGACACTGTTTATACTCCAAGCTTGCTTGTTTTCATTTTCACTGCTGTGCACTCCGGTATAGTTTTACTGTCTGTACTTACTATCTCACTCTAGGTGTGCTGGGGCTAAAGATTGGTTCCCCAAATCCACCTTTTAACCTAGTTGTCACCTTTCCTTGCTGAGCCATCTCTCCAGCTCTGGGAATGGAGCCCATGGTCTCAACCATAAAGCAATTTGTGTTTCTTACCCTGAGTTGTAATTCAGTTTGTTTGGTTGGTTTGTTTTGTGAATTTGACTTTTATTGGGGTTTAGTGGGATGGGAAATATCACCTTGGGAGTTAATTGTTCCTTTTTGGTTTGTTTTTGAGATAGGGTATCATTGCCTAGGGTGTCTTGGATCTTACTATGTTGTCCACACTGGTTACAAACTCAGAGCAATTCTCCTGTCTTACTCTCCTACATGCTGGGATTGAGGTTTGAGTTACTAGGTCTTGGCCCCATACTGCAGTTTATTATATCATGTTTTGGGTATTTTGTCAGGCCTATCCTCCAGCTTCCATGTGAGTGCTGGGGAATCAACTCAAGTCCTCTGCAAGAGCATCCAGTGCTCTTAGCCACCGAAACATCTCTCCTCCCTGCTATAATTAGTATTTTTAATGTCCAGCACATTCACGCCTGGGAGTATCTGAAGGTTATCTAAGGGTATCTGAAGATCTTAGTACTACTGAGTTGCAGAATCTTTTTCTGCAGAATCTCTATTTTTTGCTATAACCTTCCTGAAAAGATTTATCTATTTCCTGTGTATGAATGTTTTGCCTGAGTGTATGTAGTACTTCACATGTGGCTAGAGCCCACAGAGGTCAGAAGATGGATGTTAGACACCTAGAACTGGAATTATGGAACCTGGGCCCTGTGCGTGAACAGAAAGTGCTCTTAACTGCTGAGCCATCTCTCCAGCCCTTTCCTTGTAAAGTGTTGGGAGTTTTTCTCTTTTAGTTGTTGTTTGATTTCTTCTCTGAGGCTCTGGCCTGGAACTCACTCTCTAGTTCAGTTTCACTCCCAACCTAAAGTGATTCTCACGACTCAACCAGAATGAGAGGCGCTACTGTGCCCAATGGGGGTGGTTTTATCAATTCAAAATGTTTTTGCTACTGATGACCTATTTCCCCCATATCAGCTTTTTCATTTCAAAGGACATAGGCATTACCTAACCTAGATGCCCACTGTTTCATTGGTATCATGTGCTAGGCTATGAAAATGATTTGTTACTTCAGTACAATTCCAAGGAGCTGCACTCGTTTTGCTTGTTGTTACAGTGATAAAAGACTGGCAAAACAAACAAACAAAAACAAAGCAAAACTTGACAAACAAACATGCCGTCTGGGGAAGCCCCTACAGCCCAGTCTCTGCTGAGAAGTAGCACTTCCCATGGGCCAATCTAGTGCAGAAAATCAAATGGAGACAACTCCTCCATGAAGGGTCCCTCTTCCCGGGTGTGATAAAAACCAAAATTAGAAGTTGGAGAGATGGCTCAGTGGTTAATAGCACTGAATGCTCTTCCCAGAGGTGTACTGGGTTCAATTCCCAGCAACCTCACAACTGTCTATGGTAGGATCTGATGCCCTCTTCTGGCATGCAGGTGTACATGCAGACAGAACATTCATTCATGAATAAATTAAAAAAATAGCTATTACACCATTTGAGAGGGCGTTTTTCTCAGTCCATATTTTCATTGTAGGAACCGGCTTAAGCTTCTGGACCTTATCTCTAGTGTAGTATCATGGTTGTTTTAGCTCATCTCTGCTTCTCTGTGCATGTCAACTTGCTTCTGCTACTG